AGAATTGGGACTATGCGAATTGCACCCATCAGGTGTTTCTCAATACAAAGCTTGCTACCTTCTCAAGCTGTAACCCTATGATCGCTTACTAAGGAGTAAGGCCCATGTAACTCAATGCAACTTACTTCTGAGGATGCTTATACTATGAAGATATATCAAAGGAGTGTGACCGGGTCAGGAATTAAAAACAAAACTTCTAACTTATACTCTTCTGATTCAGCCTCCTTCTCTGGGCTGTCAATAGTCTTAACTATGGATGTTTCGTGTGGGGCGGTGTGTGTGTGTAAGGGAAGTAGCAGCAAGACCAAATGTTTGTACCAGATTATTGAAAACTCTCAAAATTCAAAAGCAGTTTTGGTAAGTTTTAGAAAACGAAAAACAGGTTTTAACAGTTTTCACTAGAACTGTATGTATTTTGCCAAGGCATACTAACCTGACAGAAACAGATGCTTATGGCTTTTTTTTTTTAAGGGGATATTATGCTGAGGAAAGGGCAGAAACCTTGACAAATTTCACCTAGATTTCGGGACAAGGGCAAATTACATTCAAATGCATATGTAAATGCATATGTAAACCTGTATCCATATCACCTCACGGTGTAGCCTTATTGGGTTTTCATGTTTTTTATCTGCAAAAAGGCAGTTTAAAGAATGATGATGATACTGATAACAAAAACAGTTTGTTAGAATGTGCATGCCACATTTCACTTAGAGAAAAAATACTAAGGCAGTTCACAAACAACTAAAAGTCACCAGCTGTTTAATTTTATTTATTCGGTTTAATTTCACTCTGACCCAAACTAGTATATCTGGACATATGTTTATCTGAGCCAGTTCCTTATGTGGATTCTTTTCATTTTCTTTTCACGACATGTTTCCACCTTTGGTTAATAGTTTCATTATTCCAGTTCTATATATAATCAGCTTCTTACATTTTCCTTTTCTAATCTAATAGAGTTTCCCATCAGTAGAACATAACCTTTTAGTGCCAAACACCTTGAGTGTTACAAAAAGATATAGTTAAAACTGTAGCAATTATTAAGGAGGCATTGAAATACTGAGCCAAAACACAAAGGTCTTGCCAGTAGGAGACATGATACATCATGGAAGAGATAACTAGATGGAAGCACAATATTCCCTGTACTGCTGTCAAAATATATTTTAAAATCTCATGTCTTATCATCATGTACACCGACACACACCAATTAATATCAAAGGTAAGATGGGTGGGGACCAGAAAGAGATCATCCTTGGTTGCCCTCCCCACCCCCCGCCCACTCCATTCGTGGAATTCACTTCCCAGAAAGGCCTGTCTGGTGACTCCATCAATATCCTTGCAGTGTAGGCAAAGTTGCATTTTTGCTCCCAGACTTTTAAATGTACAGTGGTACCTCGGTTTAAGAACAGCCCTGTTTACAAACTATTCATTATAAGAACTCTGCAAAACCAGAAGTAGTGTTCCGGTTAGCGAACTTTACCTCAGTCTACGAATGGAAGCCAGATGGTGGAAGGGCACTGGCGGCGATATGCCTCATTAGGGAAAACGCACCTCTGTTTAAGAATGACTTTGGTTTAAGAACGGACTTCCGGAATGGATTAAATTTGTAAACCGAGGTACCATTGTATACCCACTTACCTCCATGGCTTTTTACTTCTGAGTAGACATGTATAGGATTGTGCTGCTAAATGTCTTTGTTTTTGTAATATTCTATATGTCTATTTTAACTGTGCTTATAAACCATTTGAGCAGCTTTGCTGACATCACAGAAACACGATCAGTCTCCAGTGAACCTCACCCCAAGGAAACTAAACCCAAGAGATGTGCAAGACCTGTGAAACCTCTCATTACTCAAAGACTGGAATGTGTTTAGCAATATATTCATTCCCTCTGTGTTGTGCATTAATATAATCGAAACAGCTTGGCTTGTGGAATAAAGCTCTTTTAAAACATTGAGACTTAACTCCAGACAAACCTGTTCAGGAACAAGAGAACATTTTACACTTATTTAAATCGTCAGAAGAGAGTCAGAATTGGACCACTGATGTACCATCTCCTGGATTCCACTTTGTATGCTAAAAAAGATTTACTTCAAATGAGTATTTGACCAGTGATTCTCAATGCAAATAATCTTTAATAATATTGGAGACAAAAACAAATATAAATAGTAGAATTGGTGGATGCAAATATATGTCAGAGAAAATTATCATCATCATCATCATCATTTTTTGAAGAAAACGTGATTTTACAATTCCCATATTCAGCACATATGCCAGTGTGTGCAGAAGACTCTCTATCATACCTATAGTTTAGGCCAGGCTAGTTCAATGCTTAAATACATGCCTAAAGCATTTCCCATAACCTGACAGGAAATCGCTGATATGAGAATGTTTCTGGCAAGTCTGCCACTCAGAAAACAAGAGCCTAACTAAGTGCCTGGCACTTTGCCACCAATTCTTCTAAACACTGGGGTTCCAATAGTTCTCCCACTTATGCACGCATAATTCCCACTGGCTTCACTGATGCTGACTACAGGATAGGCATCTAAGGCCCCCATCTGCACTACTTTAAAGTTGTATCATGCCACTTGAAATGGTCATAAAAGGTAAAGGTACCCCTGCCCGTACGGGCCAGTCTTGCCAGACTCTAGGGTTGTGCGCTCATCTCACTCTATAGGCTGGGAGCCAGCGCTGTCTGCAGACACTTCCGGGTCACGTGGCCAGCGTGACAAGCTACATCTGGCAAGCCAGCGCAGCACACGGAACGCCGTTTACCTTCCCACTGGTAAGCAGTCCCTATTTATCTACTTGCACCCGCGGGTGCTTTCGAACTGCTAGGTTGGCAGGCGCTGGGACTGAACGACGGGAGCGCACCCCGCCGTGGGGATTCGAACCGCCGACCATGCGATCGGCAAGTCCTAGGCACTGAGGTTTTACCCACAGCGCCACCTGCGTCCCCTGAAATGGTCATGGCTTCCCCCAAACAATCCTGGGAAGTCTAGTCGGTTAAGGATTCTGACATTTGCTGGGAGACCCCCTATTCCCTTCAAAGATCTACAACTCTCAGAGTGGTTTAACCATCAATCCCTTTTCCCAGGGAACTCTGGGAGTATAACTGTGAGGGGAATAGGAATCCTCCTAACAACTCTCAACATCCTTAAAAAGACTTCTCTTCTCAGGATTCTTTGCTGGAAGCCATGATTGTCTACTAAAGTGGTATTGTGCTGCTTTAACTGTATAGCGCAGATGTGGCATTAGATTCGTAATTTAAGTCGACACACAGTTCTACTGAAGTCAAAGTTTCTTTTCTTATTAAGTGATGGGAGAAAGGTTTAAAAGGGAAGTGGAAGAAAATTTCAGCACAGCACTTGTTCTTGCAAATAACTTTACCAGCATTTAGTCATCACTGCACTCAAAGAATCACATTTGTATACAGCATGACTGATCCTTCATTTTCTAATGAAATTTATGTTAACATTCACCTTTGGATATAAAGCTTTTCGTTTTCCATCATCACATTTTGAAACTGACTTAAATAAGAGCAGGATTGCACCCAATGGCTTACACTGTAGTCTTCTTTGTTTCCATTTCATATGTTAATATATTTTGATATATTAGCTAACACTGTCGATGTATAAAGTTGTGGTTGTTGTTTTTTTAAAAAAGAAACAGTAAACATTTTAACCAGAAGCCACAGATTTTCTGCACAAATGTATTATTGGTGAAGATTCTACTCCAGTCTTAATATTAAAACGTCATGATTAATATTTGGTCTTCTGCTTTGTTACTCATATACAGAAACCCCAATTGACATGGTGTTAAATGAAAGGCAACTCTAGAACAGGTCACTTATGAGCAGATGCATTATTTAACCCTTTCTCCTGATGGTTTTCCCACTCCAAATCCACTCCCATACACTGCCTGTCATTGCTCACAGTCCAGTTTCCCACTTACGAGAATAAACATGCATATTGAACTGGGTGAAGGGGAACGTGTTTGGGTGGTAGAAAGAAAAACAGCTACTGTGTGTGTGGGGGGGGGAGAATCATGACCTCCACTCTCAAAAGCACTCTGCTTTTCATTTTTGGAAGGTGGGACGAAGGCTGCTGGGGCTTCCGTACATGATTCTGTGCAATTAGTAGTTTGCCAGTTAGGAAAATATAAAACATCTACTCACTACACATCAACAACTAACTTAGATCACCCTGCATGTGTCTGTATACTTATCCAGCACTATGTGGTCCTCCTGTGGGCTTGCTTTCCATCCAGCCAAAGTTCAGATCCTTAATAACTTGATGGCTAGGATCCCTTCTGGGAAAAGGAAACTGGCTGTGTATTGACCCCCTTTTCTGTGCAATGACCTGCATACTGCTGTACAAATCAGGGGGGGGGTGTGAGAAGAGCACTCTGTGCTGATCTCCTTCCCTGAGCAGAAATGGCAAAATCATGGAGGATAAGGCTAGTAGCCACGATGGCTATGTATTACCTCCGGTGTAAACTGAAAATGTGCCCGGTACAGCCCTTACTTGCCAAGGGACAATTGGGAGTGCCCTATAAGGCTGCCCCATTGCTACTTTGTGGTCATGCCTTTTCTGGTCTCATATATGACAGCAGTTGTGGGGCAGGTGAGCAATAAACTTGAGGAAAACAGGTTGGGGGGCCTAAGTAATTTCGTTGTCCCCGAGAGGGGGCAATCACAATAAAGATATTATTATTATTATTATTATTATTATTATTATTATTATTATTATTATTATTAATCTGGTCCACGGCTGCTGATGTAGAAGGTGGAGAAAAGGGCAAGCAAATACCATATATTTTGCTCTATAAGACTCACTTTTTCCCTCCTAAAAAGTAAGGGGAAATGTGTGTGCATCTTATGGAGTGAATGCAGGCTGCACAGCTATCACAGAAGCCAGAACAGGAAGAGGGATTGCTGCTTTCACTGCGCAGCTTCTGAGATTCTGGCTTCTGAGATTCAGAATATTTGTTTTCTTGTTTTCCTCCTCCAAAAACTAGGTGTGTCTTGTGGTCTGGTGCGTCTTATAGAGCGAAAAATACGGTAATCAAGGAGCTGGAACAACTCCCCTATGACACAATTCAACATTTGGGGCCTTCTCAGTTGGGGGGGGAGGTGAGTAAAGAGAGGCATGATAGGGGTGCATTAAATTATGTGAGGTGTAGAGGAAGTAGATAGAGAGATGTTTCTTTTCCTCTCTCATAATACCTTGGCTTATCCAAGTAATGTGAATGGGGTAGCTAAAGTATGAAATGTGCCCCCACAAGAGGTTAGACAAATGTATGGAGCCTAAGGTTCTCAGTGGAACTACCTCTGATATTGGAGGCAGGATGCCTTGGAACACCAGTTTACAAATGGGGAGGGGGCTGTTGTACTTGTGTCTGCTTGCCGGCTTCTCACAGACATCTGGTTGGCCACTGCAAGAACAGGATACTGGACTAGACAGATCTTTTGTCTGACCCAGCAGGTCTCTTTTTATGTGCCTAATGGCCTCATTTTTTCCCTATGCTGATTTTTTAGCACTTGAAATAAATTAATCATAAATAACATTTTAGCTACGTTGCCCTATGTAACACTATTTCCTATTTTGGGTTATATTTGTGGTTTGTTCATACAAAGCTTTCTTCCATGTTGGTACAGAGCAGGAAGGAATCCACAAGCCTGGGCTTGACCAACTGCTGGAAATCTGACTCTTGAAGGCCATCAGGGCTGATAACAGCAAGTCGCCGCAAGGCTGCCTGAAAGAAAAATGTGACAATACAGTTTTAGAATAAAAATCTGGCTTCATGCAATGCTAAAGAAACATCACTTGTTCAGAATGACTATTGAGCTGAGGTTCGGCAGACATCCCCTTAACCATTAACTGATTGACACTATCATAGTGATGTTATTGATTCAATACAGTTACTTATTTGTATACTTGAAAAGCAGTTGAGACTCATACATTATGTGTGTGTGTGGCCACATACCTCAAATAGCAAATCAACATTCTGGAATTGATTTACATGTTTAGATGTACAGGTATCAGAATGGGCAACATTATTAAACGACAGCATTCCTGTCGACAACAGTTTCATCATTTATGTTCCCATGTTAGTTTGTGTGTGCCTAATTAAGCTGATGCTTCCGGATGCTCCCATCATAAGGATATCTGCAATCTGTAACATTTAGGTTGTGATGTCACGTACTTCTGTGGGAGTAATCCCCGTCAAACTCAGAATAGGCATGTATAGGACTGTGGTATTAAAAACACATACTTTTTCTGATTTTTCTAAAAGCCATGCTTCTGAGATTTCAGCACAGCTGTAATATGGGTGCTTGAAAAGAAAGCTAGGTCTCGGCTAAATTTCTTATTTAAACTAAACTAAAGTAAACTAAACCAGGAGTGGACTTTGGTAATACAGTATGGTGCCCTGAGCAAGGACAAAATTTGTCCAACCCCGCCCCCTCAAAATATTTCTTATTTTCTCAATAATTCCTTCTGGTACAGTTGCTTTCTTAATGGATCTTCTCAATGGGCTCTCCAGTGCACTATGTCATAGTTGCGGCAACTCACTTGCCCATCTGACCGTGGCCTAACTTTGAGTAGGTGCCTATATAAATATAGGTATCATCATCATCATCATTTTGTGCCTGCCTCGGTTTGGTGCCCTGTATGGGGAGACTGTCCACACTGCCCAAATACATTGCTGAACCAACCTTGCTAACAAATTGCTTTTGGTGGTGCATGGAACAACATTAGACTAAGTCCCATTCAGGCTTCTACTGAGTGAGGTTGTGCATACATGACCCTGATCCTTTGTCCTTTGCTTTGATTTTGTGGCTTAATTTTGGTAGGGGAATCTGCTAGTTTCCACCGAATAAACTAAACTGAATCTATTCTTTAAAAGGACTGCTTAAAACAAAGCTCTCTGAAAGCATCCCTTCCTGAAGACCCTGAAATCCCTTTGCTGGCAAAAGGCACATTCATTTCTATGGGGTTTGTGCCAGTGAAGCACTTTGAGGGTCAGTCTTCATTTTGCTCTCTAGTCCTGCAAAGATTTATAGTGTGACCTCAGGCAAGCCACTTCATCTCCCTACTTAAAACTGTTCAGACTTAAAATTGACATAGGAATTGTCTCTGCCCAGTACTTAGCATACAGCTGCTTCCACCCTGATTGGTCTCTGCAAGCATTACCATTATTTCAAAGAGTAAATCACATGATTTCCAACCATTTGGGGACAGAAATATGAGTGCAAAACTCAGTTGCACAAAGAAATATTGTCCACTTATCAACATTTTAAAAAAATGTGCCTATTATGGGAATTATTTTATTGTGTCATCAGATGGGAGGTCACAAAATTCTGAGCATTGCTTATGGCAACATGATAATCTTTTTATAATAAAAATTTCTTATAAGCTAACTGCCTCTGCAATGAAAATAAAAAATGATTCCAGACTAACAAGCCTCAGTACATTGTAACATTGAAATCCCTATTTCTGGTAACATCCTGGAGGCAAATTTGTACACAACACAGTGGTATCAGGAACAGAAGAGACCTAGATCATAGTAAAGCTTGTATATTTTGCTTACTGGCAAGAGTGCGCCTATTAGAGTGTTGTGAGCTGCAGCGGGGCAGCAGGCTGCTTGGTGAGACCCTTCTAACACCTGGGCCCAGCAAGTGTTAAAATATAGGGAGATGTTTGCCTGGGTGATGGGCCATTAAGGAGAACAATTCTTTAAAAACAATTAAACAGTTCTTTTAAAAAAGTTCCCATTGCCACTAACCTGTAAAAAGTGCATATTAACAGCATTAAAAAGAATAAATACATTGCCTAAACTTGCAGCAAATCAGTAAACAGACCCCAAAAGCACAAACCCCCAACACCATACAGTTGCCTGCCTGGTTCTTTGTTCTTGGGTTTCACAAAGTTCTCAGTTCAAGTAAATCAACAGCTACAACGGAAGGGTTCACGCATTAACACTCCAAGAGGGTCTTGCTTCTTCCATAGCCACAGATGTTGGAGTGTTAATGTTTGCTCACTGTTTAAGCACATACTTTGCAAATTAAATAATAATAAAGAATTTTGTACACCACCCTTTATCCGTAGATCTCACAATCACAGGATGGTTCACAAATCTGCAAAGCCAGATTTACTTTATCTCATACAATGCTATGCAGGTTATCTACTGGGTTCAATGGGACTTAGTCTTTAGTGGTAGCACCCTTTAAATAAAACTAAATAGCCAAACCAAATGATCCCTTAAGGGCACAGGACCTCTGAACGTCTCCTGCCAAAAGAGGCTTCTCCACTTCAACAAAGGAAGCGACACATGAAAAGGAAAGTGTGTTTGGGGCTGCCTCTTCCATATAAATGAACTGGGAAAACATATATTTAGTATTCTATGTATATCAACTCACGAGGTGTGGATTTTGGCACGGAACAAGAGGATTTCGAAGCAATATTTCTCTAGAAATTTATACTAACCAGCAACAAAAGGAAGCTCTAATATGCTCTTTAGATATGAGAGAGACTACAAAACACATCCTACTGTGCTAAATATATTTTCAGTGTATAGAAAGCACATGGGAAAGCTAAAGGCAAATAATTAGATGTACTTACCAAACATGCAACAAGAACAGAATCACTGTTATTTCTTTTGGTAGGAGACCTGCAAAGTTCTATGAGGCGTGGAATACCTATATATTTTGAAAAGAAGATTGAAAAGTGAGTAATTTCAAATCTCCGCAATTCTCAACATTGCATCAGTGTGATATACTTTCCAGATTTATCCGTTTCAGTGAAAATGATGATGAATTCAGTAAAAACTGATGCTAGAAAACAAGAAAGGAACTTCCCTTGTGTGTATTATAAAGAGCTGAAATGTGATGTATCAGTTTAACAGCGAACTGTAGAAGCATCACTCAGAAAGCACTCACTGTTCTGTTTTCACAACCAGGGAGTCTCTATAATTTTGGGGATGTCCCCTTAGTTCACTCTATCATTATTCTATTAGAAAAGGTATAGAATTGCCCCCCTGCCCTCCCCATTTTCCCACATCTGGAAGACCCCACTGGTGTCACTGAATGACTGTAGAGCAAGGGTGGTAATTTCTGCCTGAGAGTCAAATGTGGCCTCCACCATCTCTATATGGCCCTCAGGACTCTGAACAGGACACACCCCTCCATAAACCACACCATTTTTGGCACCCAGCACCCTCCTCTGGTGTTTTTACCAGGCCAGAATGTGTCCTTGAACTGAGATATCTCTTGCTTTTCTGGATGGAAGATGGAGAATGGTGTGGCCAAACTCACTTTCACAACACCCACCATTACTATGGAGCCTCCAGAAGGAAACATGGTCCTCAGATTGAAAAAGATTTCCCACTTTCCCCGCCTCTTACTGTTTTCTGAAAAATACTGTAAAAATAATCAACTGTGTTTTGGAGGACTAACAAGGTCCCATATAAGGTGTTTTGTTTGGAAAGCTGAAAATGCTTTAAAAGGAAATGCTGTCATAGTAAAAGATTCAAAAATGAAGAAAAATTGATATATGCACCAGCTGAGATCATGGAAATCATTTAACATGTCAGGTCCCTGCTCAGGGCCAATTGAAGATGTGCAACTTTCACTGTCTGCAGGATTAAGCTTTTTGAACAGTGTTGCAACCTGTTTTGTTCATTTGGGTTAGCAGGCAAAAAAAAACTAATTCTGCAACAGTTGTGTGAATTGCCCTTTGCACACCCATTTGTGCTTCTTTTTGCCTTCACAACCGGACTTTTTCCCATGCAAACTAAACATCCATTAAAGTACAGTGGTGCATTGGTTTGAATATGTCCGGGTTTGCATACATTTTGGATTACAAACACGTCAAACCCAGAAGTGCGTGTCCCAGTTTGCAACCTTTTTTTGGATTACAGCCCATATTTTTTTTTTGGATTACGAACAAAAAAATTTGGAGGCCCCATTGGTGAAAGTGTGCCTTGGGTTTCAACCTGTTTTGGTTTACAAATGGACCTCTGGAACGGATTGTGGTTGTAAACCAAGGTACCACTGTAGTCAGGTAAACTGACCCCTGCAGTTGTAATGCAATGAGTAACATGGGAGGGGAGATCTGTACTGTACTGCTGAAGACCTACAGGTGGTGTAGACTGGTTCAGAATTGAGTCCATACAGAAGGATTGAAATTCTGCATGGAGGGGGGGGGGGAGAAGCCTAAACAGTAGCAAATGGACTGGCCCTCTGATGTAGCACAGCTGATAAGAGGGTATACGGAGAGCAGATAAGTGAGACCACTTTGACAATCAAAGCAGCTGCTTCCTCACTTTGACGGATGCAGCATTTTGCATATTTTATACAGTGCCAGCATGTTAAGCATTAAAATTCTTACAACTAAGGTTTATGGCTGCATGTGCCACTTCGGGATCACGACTCAGCCGGGCGAGCGTAACTGCGGCTTTTTGCTGAACTCGTTCGCAAGCAGCTACTTCTGGTGAATTCCCAGATGACGATTTCTCAAACAGCATTTCCATTAAAACTTGAACACCTACAAAGGAGTGAAACACTGTTGATAAGCATCCCAGGCTATAGTGAGATTATTCAGGACAAAAAGCAGAATTAAAAAGGATGCAGCATGGTTTGCATACCATTTCCTTGGATTATTTCTGAGGCACACTGGTCCAGGACAGACATGTTTGCTAATATCGTCACAACCTAAATTAAAGAGAAACAACCACTTGAAATATTACATTTCACAATTCTTACCATCACCATGCATTTAAGACATGTCCTTCTAAGCTGCCAATTAAGTATCAGCACCTTCGATTTTCTGAGGTATCTTTTATTGCCACCTTTTCACAGTAGCTCAAGGGAAGCCAGATCATTATTTCCGCCTCCCAACCGTGCTCTGTATTAGCTGAAGCTTCCATAGCAAACCCCACAGAGAGCACATTGTAGTAATCCAGCCTAAAGAAACCAGTGCTTGAACTGCTGTGACCAAGCACTCTAGTTCAGAAATGGTTGTAGCTGTTATACCAGTTGCAGTTGGTAAAAGATGTTTCTAGCCACTGAGACAACCTGGGCCTCCAGTAACAGAACTGCACCCAGAAGCACTTCCTGGCTGCAATCCTGCTCCTTTATAGGGAGTGCAACCCCATTCAGGGTAGGCAACTGACAAGCTTCTTGGACATGTGGACCATTCTGTCTTGCCAGGATTCAAGCTCAGCTTGTTTTTCCTCAACCATCTCATCATTGTGTCTAGGCACTGGTCCAAGGCCTGCACAGCCTCTCCCAATTTAAGTATTAAGAAGAAACAGAGCTGAGTGTTATCAGCATACTGATAGCACCTTATACTACACTGTATAATGTAGTATAAACACTGACAACTGGGAAGCACTGGCCTGTGAGCGCTCCAATTGGAGAACAGCCTTTAGCAAAGGTGTTATGGGTTTTGAAAACACTCAAACTCAGGATGAAAGGGAGAAAGCATGCTTGGCAAACCCTCACCATGATCAACTCCTGCCCGGAAACCTATGCCCCCCCCCCCCCGTGGAAGGACGTGTGGATCCAGAATTGGCCTCCACAGTCACTTACGGACTCACTGTTAAAACCGTCTTTATGGAAGACAATCTTACTTGGCTACGAGCGTTCGCCAGAGAAGAAGAAGAAGAAGAAGATAGCACCTTGCCCCAAGTGCCTAATAATGACCTGTCCCAGATGCTCCATTGAATGTTAAATAGCATTGGAGATATGATAGTGTTCTGTGGTACCCATAGTGTAACTGTCAGGGGTCTGAAAAATGCCCTCCAAATGCGACTCTGTGGACATGATCCTGGAGGTAGGACTGGGACCATTGCAATGCAGTGCCCCCCAGTTCCCATTCCTTGAAGCCAGTCCAGTAGGATACCATGGTCAATGGTATCAAAAGCCAAAGAGAGATCAAGAAGCAGGAGCAAGGTTGCACTTCCCATGTCCTCCTCTCTGCAAAGGTCATCCATCCTTGCAATCAAGGTGACTCAGTCCCATGGCCACTGCTGAACCCACACTGGAATGGATCTAAATAACCGGTGTCATCCAAGATATGGCAGTCTCACCACAACTCTCTCCACCACTTCGTCCAAAAAAGTATTTGTTGCTGGTTGATAGTTGCTTCAACTCAAGGGGTCCATGGCTGCACCACTACCTCTTTCAAGGCAGCAGGAACCTTCCCCTAACACATTGAAACATTAACCATGCTCTAGACTTAACCACTCATATACCCTCTACTTGATTTGATAAGTAGGAGAGACTGGAGTCAAGATGGCATGTGGTCAGATGCGTGGCTACCAGTGTCTTGTCCACAACAGTTGATTCTGTCAACTGATACCAATGCCACACTACATCATATTTGAGGCACTGGGCACTTTGGCTGGAGTTGTAACAACTGCAGAGTCAATATCACTCCAAAGTTCTCCTCCAAAGTTATCCTTCTGTCTCCAAGTCACAGCAGGTCTTCAGAAGCTCCAGAGGTCCCTACCCCATAGTGGAAGTCAGTTACCTAACTCGTGATTCCATTGCTAGCATGACTACCATGAGTTGTGGTTGTACAGGTCTGCTCTAGAGAAGCAGGAGTACAACTAATGGGTGAAAATGGTAGAAAAGCTAATTTTGAGAACATCAGGGAAGAGAATCCTAATGGTAGAAGAGCTGTTAACCAATGGAGGTATTCCCCCCCCCCACCCACTGGAAGATAGCCTTCTGCCAGAGATGCTTCAGTTCCATCCTGCATTGCAGATCCTGTACTGAACACAGAGCTGAACCAGATGATCACTGAGGTATCTTCTATGAGTTGTATTCCAATAACTCATACTCACAGTAGACCCCTTGAGATCAATGGCTATGTTCCTTAGTTTCAGTGGGCCCAGCATGAGTATGAGTTAATTGGACGCCACATCAACTGATGCCTTGCATCACAGATACAGAGCTATGAACCAAACTTTGATCATCACCTCTCGACACAAAAGTCCAGCAAGAAAGGAATGTGGCACTTCTGTGTTTTATGCAGTGCACTGCTGCGCTAAAAAATAAATAAATGCTAAACTAAGGAGGTGGCTTGCAAACTAGAAAGTGTGAGAATTGTACATAATGAAATGTACAGAAACACAAGAGCATTTGTTGGGGCTCAGGCGGTGCTATTGTAGGGCAAATGCACATGTTTGGATAACATAGCTTGAGGCCCTACCCTGTGTATTCAAACAAACAAACCTCACTGATAGAGTTAAGGAAGCCAAGTTGCCATCAATTTGGCTCTCACTAGGTCATTATAGTAACAAAGGATATTTGTTTTGGGTTGTGTGTCACAAAGGTCTCCTGCTTCCTTCAGCAGTGCCACAGTGTCATCTCTCTGAATAAACAGGCCCACTTAGGATGCAAATGACTTGATGAAATGCCAATAGTGACAGGCAGAAAAAATGGGAACTCAAGACACATCTATGTGTTGATTCAATGTTAATTATTAACAGTGTTTCAGGCATGTGTCCCTTCGTTCTAAATGATATCCTGTTAATGAAAATTACTTGCTCCATGGAGAGACTGCACCTCATGCAGCTTTCTAAGCAAAAGATGAAGAATTCAATTAAGGACAATTTGAATACATGCCAATTATTCCACTCCTTCAAGTTATTTGATTGAATCTTAGAAATGTGTGTGAGTGTGTATGTGTGTGTGTGTTTGTATTTGTGTCTTTTGACTGATAAATTTATATCAGCTCAATGACTCCAGTTGCCCCTTATCCAATTATCCCAAAGAATTTCTTTATATGTGCAAGACAAACAGTGACCATCATGGTGCTGGGAATTTTATTCAATACCAAAATTGTTTAAATTTTAAGAAGACCACCATAATGTACAGATTGGGCAAATTACCCCTACATACATGAGACTTATTCAGTACAAAACCTCATTTAATTAAAACTACAGACCTAAGACTTAGCATATTCAATCAAACCAGTGGTCCGTAACCCCCAGAATCCTGTGCCCAAACATAGCAGTCATGAGTTACCAGGTTGAGGCAATCCTAGACTTGCCTAATATTCATAATGCCTGGAAATCAGTAACTTGCAAGGTAGGTTCCAACTTTACAGTCTAATAGCTCCTTAGAATTCCTTATCTGGTCAGAACATTTTAACTGCATTGTGCTTAACAACCATTAGTAGTTTTGCCAGTGACAGGAGACACAGTACATACAGTGAGAAACAGAGGCAGGCAGGGATAAGATAAGATAAAATAAGATAAGAGGCAATACAAACTGGCAGAAAAACAAATAGGCAAGTGCTTTGATTCATCTTCATGGAATGACTTGTAATAATTGCACAATAGTGGTGCGATAAACAGAAGTGCAAAAATTCCAGCAATCTGGTATCCTAGGACAACCATATTATTAAGTCCAGGGTGCGGGACAGTGAAAAGAACAAAATGTTCTTCCTTCCATGCTGCAGCATTTTTTAAACAACAGCAGCATAGGAAGCTAGTTTAGACTGAGCCTCAGACCATCTAGATCAGTATTGTCTACACTGAGTAGCAGCATCCCTTCAAGGGTCAGGTGGGAATCTCTCCCAGCCCCACCTGAAAATGCTGGGGACTCAACTTGAGACATTCTACATGCAGGGTAGCTGCTCAACCACTGAGCTACGGACTTTCCCTGCAAATAACCACTTCAAAGAGGTGATCTGCAAATACTACCTTTGCTTGCACTGTGCACATTTAGCTCTCTGTTGTGTTATCTTTCTTAGTATTTGCAGAAAGGGGAGGAGCAAGCTGAAGGGGGCGGGCCTTGGGAATATGCTGCCCTGCGCAGAGCCAACATTTGACGCCTTCCCCCAGCCCTCACAGTGCTGGCTTAAGCCAGACTTTGGGAAGGAAGCAAGAGGCTCTGCGATCCTAAATGCACACATGGGAGCAAGTCCCAATGAACTCAATGGGACTTACATTGAATAGACACATAGAGGATTGCACTAGAATACCGCCTTGGAGAGTCTGGGGGAAGAAAGCTTAATTTTGTAGAGAATAAAATTTGGCAATGACACATAATGGAATTTCCCCCCTCGCTATGCTCTCACCTTTTTAAGAATTAGTGCCCTCGTTTTCTGATGGTCAGCATCTCATACAGCAGAGCTGGGAGTCATTATGCTAATTAAATCTTTAATAGTCATAAGAAAACAGCTTTTCATGAGCTTTATTACTGTCACTAACAAGGATGGGGAAAAATGAATCTTAAAACAAAAGTTCCTGTGTTCATTTCACTAGGTGGCAAAGTACATAAATATGGAAGTGCTAAAATGAGTGGTTAATTATCATCTAGCTAAGCAAAATTGCTTCCCGCTATGTTTTATTTCAATTCAGTTAATTGCATAAAGTCCAGTTAAGGAAGACTTGCAATGTTTCGTCCAACCTTCCTATCATAGATATGAGGGTTTGGGGAGACTGGGAAAGCAGTTACTGATCTTAACATGTAAATTATAGAAAGACAAAGGGGTCCATCTGAGATAGGAAAAAGGCTTCTATGCGCTATGTGGTCCTTGATTCCAGGTGGTGACCCAATCAAGTCAGGAAAATTAGTTCAGAGGCTTCCATTATACAATGTTGATATGCATCCTTCAAAAAACAAATAAATAGGAAAATATATCATAGATTATAAAAAAACCTTAATGCATCCTTTTTGCATCATCAACGTTTGAC